GAGAATATGTAATGCCCTCCAGAAGTATTGGGGCAACAATATCAACTCTTTCATTTTTTCTTTGCAGTCAGGCAATTTATATTTGAATGTGAATCAGATGAATATGAATAAGAAGTAAATTGTAATATGTCTCTTATTTCTGTCATTCATATTAACCTTGTGTTCACGGTGTGGATTAAACACACTAGATGCACTAAATAGTATATAACCTACTGTAGTACGAATGGTGTTTCTGAACAGAAGTTTGACACGGGTGTAAATTCTATACTAAATATCTCACAGGCTAAGCTTGCCCTTTGTGCTTCTTCACACGTGTTTTGTTTTGCATTCCATATTTGCTCTCATCAGAGATATGTCTTTCTGTGGTATTTTTTGTAGCTTCTTTTTTCCTTCCACCTTTTTTTACCTCCCATAAACTCATCTAAGCAACAGAACTTATTTTTTCAAGAGAGACATTGCACTACTGTACTTTTCTTCACATTACTGTACGCCACATTTCTAGGCTTTTTTTAAAACGTTTTTTTTCTGTTTCATAAAAACTCTACTATTTATTTTTTTATGCTTTGTGATATTGGATGAATGTTATTTGTTGTGGATGAATGTTATTTGTTGTAGTTTTTAACCTTGAAAATGTTACCCAAATTCTGCATATGAGCAAATTTTGCTTCAATTAGTAAAGATTTTATGAGTACTATAAATACAGTAAACCAGGACATAAGCCTAGAGTCTATACTCATTCATATCCCCTTCTTAGAATGTGCAGATATGCTGATAAAATCATATAATTATTTTCCCATTAGACCGAGATTAACCTTACTATAGAGTCCATGCCTCATTTTGTAAATTAAATAAGTGGATAAATGACAAGCTATCTACTTGTCAAAAGCTACTCTTTTACCTTTATGGAAAAGATATGCATCTTGTCGCTTTATATGGAAAAACAAATATTCTAAATCTTTGTATGGAACACACACATATACAAATGCATATTCATATATTGTAGGCTATACTGTATATAACAGTAATTTACATAGTAAATGTTACCCTGATTGTCTCAAATCTTGTCTTTGCATCTAGTACTTTTGCTTTTAATGTACTCACACTTAGAGCCTTTTTATATTCTTTTAATGCATTTGTTCTTGACCTACTGTAACTGATGACCGATAAATCAGAATGACTGAAGCATGTTAATAATATAAAGAACAGTCACCACAGCAACTCAGAAATTGCCTGAACCAACTAAATGGCACTTTCTTGCAACTGGTACTAATGGAATCCTGGTTAATTGAACTTTTTATTCCCTGTATTGTCCATCTAAATACAAGTTTGAGATTTGTCACTTCGTTACATAGCTACTCAATGCAAAAAAAGTGAACTTAAGGGGTTTACTGTACATGGGCAGAATGAAAACTCTGCATACTGTACATAAGGACTTAAGGACATCTGCCCTTGTGCTCCCATGAAGTACATCCCGGAGAGTGTGACTTTCAGAATGTGAAAACTCTATTCTCCTTACATGTTAACATCAGCATTTTTCAAATTGTTGAAAGGAAATAATAATAAACAGACAGCTTTAATGTGTGGGTTTGCCATTAGTGCCCTTTTTCCTCAACCTACGGCTACAGTACATGCATGAATCAGCTTGGAATCCTAGAGCTCTCAGTATAAGATTATTGTTATTTAAGGATTTTATTTCTGCAAATATACACACCATCATTTGAATGGTATCCACTGCCTTTGATTGTCCAAAAGAGATGAATATCAGAATTATTCAACAGTTTTAAGTTGCAGTGAAGGAGCTTTTGTTTTGGAATGTGAGTCATTACCCATACCATTCATTTCTTTAAACACTGAATTAGCTAATTGTTTCTTGTAATCCAGGTTTATCAACACTCCAGGTGGTGCTGGATACAGCTGCTGAGAAGAAGTGGCAAGTGACAGCTATCAATGTGGGTAACCTCAAAGATGAAAAGAAAGATGAGGCGTACCGCTCACTCTTCCAGGATCTTGAGAACAAGAAAGAAAGGAGAGTTATTTTGGATTGTGAACAAGACAAAGTGAAAGACATCATGGAGCAGGTGTGTAATTTCTATAATATGCTGTTCTTCATATCTTCTTATCTACAAACAATGTATATGTGATTATACCAATTCATTTGTCAGATGTTTTTTATCATAAGCAACCTACATTTTAACCTGTTTACAGTGCCCTCCAGAATTATTGGCAGCCTTGGTGAAGATGAGCAAAAAAGGTTATGAAAAAATGTCTTTATTTATCAGCTTGATCTTACAGTAAAAATATAACCTCTCAGTGAGGTGAAATAATTCAAGGAAAAAAAATCCTTAAATATTTTTCTCAAAAACACATGTCACAATTATTGGTACCCCTAGAAATTCCTATGAACAAAATCTGATTGACATATATTCCCATTCATATGTTACCTTTTTTAAGCACATCTGAGTCTTAAGGATCTCTTAAGTGATCATCCATGACTTTCTGTTTCGCTGGGGTATAAATATGAGGTGACATGCAGGCTAAAGACCCTTAGCAATCCCTCAACATGGTGAAGATACATAAATGAAATGAGACAAAAGGTTGTTGACCTTCACAAATCAGGCGATGGCTATAAATAAATAGCTTCACACCTGAAAATACCCATCTCCACTATTAGGGCAATAATTAAGAAGTTTCCCCCACACACAGTGAGGAGGATGGTTCGAGAGGCAAAACTTTCTCCAACGATCACAGTTGGACAATTGCAGGAGTTGTTTGCATCCTGGGGTCACCAAGTCTCCAAAACTACAATTAGACGCCACCTCCATGCCAACAAACTATTTGAAAGAAGAAACTAGAAGAAACCAGAAGAAACCATCCGCTGTCGTCAAACCACAGACATAAGCGCCTGGAGTTCGCTAAACATAACTGGATCTTTGATTGGAACTGGGTTCTATGGTCAGGGAAAAATAGAGCTTTTTGGCAAAAAAAAACCAGAGGTGGGTTTGGTGTAAAAAGAGTCAAGGTCATGCAGAAAAGAACCTAATACCCACTGTGAAGTATGGTGGTGGATGTAGCATCATGGACTCCATCAAAACCAGGAGATCAAAATTAGATAAAAATCTGGCTGCTTCTGCCAGGAGGCTAAGACTGGGTCGTGGTTGGATCTTCCAGCAGGACTATGATTCAAAGCATTTCTCCAAATCCACACAAAAATAGTTCACTGATCTCAGTATCAAGCTTTTGCAGTGGCAATCCTAGTCCACTGACCTACTGTAAACCCCATTGAAAACCTGTGGGGTGAGCTGAAGAGTAGAGTCCTCAAGTGAGGACCAAGGACTCTGAAGGATCTGGAGAGATTTTGTATGGAGGAATGTTCTCAGATCCCTTATACAGTATGTGTTCTCCCACCTCATCCAGCATTATAAGAGAAGACTGAGTGCTTTTATCTTGGCAAAGGGAGGTTGCACAAAGTACTAAATGCGGCGGTGCCAATAATTGCGACACATGTGTTTCTGAGAAAAATGTTTATTTTTTTATAAGGATTTGTTTTTCTTTAAATAATTTTATGTCACTGAAAGGCTAGATTTCTCTCATATTTTCAGTGTCAAGCTAATACAGTAAATCATTAAGACATTTTTTCCTAGCCTGTTTTGCTCAACTTTACCAAGGGTGCCAGTAATCCTGGAGGGCACTGTACTGTATATACCCGGCCATTGTACTGGTACAAGCTTATTGAGATTATATTCATTTGCAATTTTTAAATATTATTTCTTATTATTTAAGTATCTTACTTAGAGCTACAACAGCAGTGTTCTACCTGGAATTTGAACCCATAACCTTCTTTCTATTTACAGTTCCAGAGTTCAAACAATGTTGAGCTAAGAGCAAGTGCTATTACTTTTGACTGTTTTAAAAGTACAGTAGGTGTTGCCTTTTTAGTAGGATGGACTAATAATGATTTACTTCAAGACCCCTTATTTTTCTGTTTGATTTTATGAAATATGTTAATAAGGAGGATCAGAGTCTTGACAAATCCTGTGTTGTACAGAGGCTTTTAATGACCTACTGAGCACTTTATCATGAAACATCTTAATGTGAAAATGTCACTTCCTTTATTGTGTACCCAACCAATTAGGAATTCACCAGCAAAGACTTTTGAACCCACACAGGAAAAAAAAAGACCTGTAGGCACAACCACCTGTTAGAGCTATTCATCTTTTGACATGTACAGTAGTAAGCTTCACAGTGCATGACTGGAGAGTTTAGTGCTGGTTGGAGGAGCAAATTTCATGCTTACATGCAAAATTACATTAACCGTGCGCCTCAAGCTTCAATAAGCAAAGTGTTGTACTGTGCAGTATGTGATATAAGGCACTGAGAAAATATGAATATTCCCCATAGTGAGTTAAGGGTTCAATCTCTTAAGTTTCTGCATCTTAATCTTTCGACTTATTTAGCTTTTGCAAAAGATGAAGTTCATGCTGTTTGGGGATTTGCATGCAGTTTATTAATTATTACAAATGTCATAGGCTTAGTAAATAAAGCTGTTAGTATTTGATGCATAACTAGTATGATCATTCATATTATAAATTATTTATGCTTTACATTTTAAACAAAAAAGTATGGTGTTTTTCTAAGCCCCTCATGGCCCTGAAAGTCCTTGCATTCATCAGGTAGTTATTTAGGTTGCACTTTTTAGAATGTTTATTGCATTGCATCAATACCCATAGATTTAAATCAGTTTTTTTAACAGTTTAATGAAAGAACGAGTGAGATTCTATTCATGTGGAATGTTTCAGATATTATTTTTAATTATTTCAAGACAAGTTTGCTGTTCAGATAAAAAGAATTACCAGGGTAATATTTCCTTATCGGTTCATCTTCTAGTTTGTGATTAGAGCAAGTTATCGCTTATACACTGGTATACTACAGTCTTTGGGTAGTGACACAGATATATTCAGTTGGGTTTGAATAAGCAGCACATCTGTTTTTGTCAATTAGAAATCAAATGGATAAGTGACATTTTACAATGTAAAGTAGTAAGTAGTACACCATACAACACTTATTTTTAATTGGTGCTTGATTATATACTGTAGCTCAGTAAGAGAATGGCCACAGCCATTTTTAACTAGAACAGCAGGACTAAAGTGGGTTTGTTGTAACTAATGTCTATAAACAATATGAGTAACCAGCAACAGAAATACCTCTTTTTAACTAATTGTAAACTTTATTTTTTACTTCTTGGTGACAATGGTAGCCCTCAGTTACTTACAACCAACCCTACCTTTCATTGCTCAAATGACATTTGTTTTTTTTTTTAGGGGTCTATACTACAATATTTGATTAATATGCTTTGGACTATGTCCAGAATCTTAGCTTTCTTATGGGTGCTCTTCCAGGGAAGACTAAGCAGGTTCCTTCAGGTTTTCAAGTCTTCCCTACTACTGTATATCATTCTCTCTTTTCTTTCACTAAGAAATAGTTTTCAGTCTCAGGAATAATCAATATTTTTCAGTAATATCCAGTTCTCTTTCTCTGCCTTCATAAGTTATAAGAGTTTTCATGACTCTTACCCAGTTGCCCCCAGCACTCTCCTACTCTTGCTTTTAACTCATTTTTCTCTTATTGTTGTTCTCATGGCATCTGCTATCACACTTTTCTATCACCGACAGATCCCGTTTGGCCAGGGACACTTCTCAGTACCAAACCCTGGTGTTAATGACACAGTTGCAGTTTGCTCTTCCTACACCTCTTTCTTCATTATGCTAGTTTTCATTATTTTTTCCAATGCCTCAATCCTTCAGTAATGACTCCTGTTTCTTGGCAGTGCACTTCTTCAGCACTGAACCTGGCAAACATGCTACTTATACAATCCTCCTGCCCAAAGCCTGTGTCTCACTTCAAGACAATATTTGCTATAAATGTTTCAAGCTACCCATTTGCTCACTGAGTCCTAAAAGCCTATTTGCCATCCCAGTCCAGCTCTAGCAAGATCTCTCTCTCCTTTCCAGCTGGAGCCTAAATACAGGCTGAATCATTCCTCCCTGTTTACGGTGCCTCTTATATCAGAGTCTTGTAGCCTCCTGTTTACTTTGAACTATAGTTAATTCCATGGAGAGCCTATGCTGACAGCTCATTTCTCTCGTATGGAATTCCATTCACCCTGGGTGCTCTAGACTCACTCAGCTCAGCTGTATCTCATTCTGCAGTAATTTCCAATTATTGGGCAGCCATCTTGCCTCAAAACCACTGCACCAGACTCTCACTACATAACACACTACACATTTGATGACTTTACCACTTTAAGGTTTCTTTTCTAATTGAAAATGACTCCACTAACAAACAATGCATTTTGTATTTTGAAATGTTTTTGGAAAGTTGACTTGTTCTGTAGTATAGTAATTGTACTGGATTTGTTATCTTTGTGCTACTGTAGTATTGATTTTCCTGACACAATCGTGAGGCATGGACACCTTTCTGCATTTTAGCTATTCACATTTTTTGTTAACTGTTTTCTTAAGAAACTGAAGTCTGCCTTCCTCAAATTAGAACTATAACTTTAGGTAACATAAAATAAGGTCAGTCCACTACAATATATACGTGATGAATATTTCATACTTCTGACAGTTGGTAAACTCTTGCTTAAATATTTTTCATTTGGTTTATCCAAAATATAGTAATTTTAACTTGAGTAACAAAATGATATATAATGAAAATATACTACGCATATCATACTATGTAATAATATCATGTCTTTACATATCATACAAATTATTTTCTGTTAATTAGATTAAGTAGAAAATATTTTTCATTTAGATTTTAGTGACCAGTTATATTTTTGAATGTCAAATTCTTGGCTACTGTTTTTTTAGTCTAATTTCACTGCAGATTCCCTGCAACACAATAAAGATCTTTGAGGCAACATTTTGTCACAAAGAGATTAAAGCAACATGGTTATTGATGGTCTTCCTACCATGCTTTGTCATAAGCAAACAACAACAACAACAAATTCTACTACAGTAATAATAATAACTACAGTAATATTATTTAGAATTATGTATAATAATACAATCACACACATTAATTTACACATATCAAACCACTCAGTAAAAATATCATGTAAATACAACATAATAGAGGATTTTAAGTAGCATGGAATTTAGTGACTTAATTCAGTATTCAGTGGCAGCTCACTTTAGTACTAATATGTAAATGAGGGTTTTTTAAGGCTAGAGATAATTCTTGTACTTTTGAGCAAATTATGAAATATTCAATTTTCTTCTATTTTATGAAAATATTTTTCTTGCATATTGCTGTGTGTAAAATGTCTTTAAAAAGAAATTTCCTCATTACTTTTTAGTCATAAATTCACATAATCTTGTGAATGATTTGTGAATCAAAGAAAAATGATAAATTTTTCTTTGGATCATTATAAGAACAACTTTATAATTTTATATTTATTTTCCAGGTCATAACTATTGGAAGACATGTCAAAGGATACCACTACATTATTGCAAATTTGGTATGATTTTTTGTTCTTATATTTCTTATTGCTTGTTTTATTTTTGGTATTGTATTGTTGTTTACTTCTTATTGTTACAAATATGGGGGGGGATCACCTGGCAGATTAATCAATAAATAAAATAAAAAATCATAACCTCCAACTTGTAAATGATTTTCCAAAGGATATACCCAATTGTATAATTAGAGGCACATAAGTCTTTTGTTCTCTGGTACAGCTTTGATGAAAAGAGTAATAATTCAGGCACATTGGGTTATGAATAGGAACCTATCTTCCTGTTCTAAAATGGACCCATTGAGTAGGAGAGGCCATTTTTAATTGAGGGATTCTTTACACAGGAAATCAAAGTTCCTAATAGCATCAGAATGGCAAACTCTCTTAACAAGGTTTAAATACTCAACTCTAGTCTGGTCATTATTTATGGTCAGGACAAAGAGCTCTCAGCTTCTGCCTTACTGTCCCTTGTCCTTCTTCCTGTTTTGTTTCCAACCTGCCTGTTTTATGCTGTCTTCTTGGACTGTTCATTGACACGTGATCATTTACCCAAAACGTAATTAACCAAAATAGACCGAGGAAAACTTTACATTGATTTTATCATTGAATCTGCATCCCTACATCTCAGCAAGCATCTCCTTGCTTTGAAGCTGGGAATGTTGATACTCATTATATCTAGATTTTTCAAAACTATTGAATATTGACATACAATAGTATCCCTCCGCCATTAAAAAATATTGTCCTCAATAATTGCTTTAATTAAGACATTTTAAAAATTTAAATTAAAAAATATTGTCCTCAATAATTGCTTTAATTAAGACATTTTATCAAGGGGACTATGAAAAGCTATATATGGTATTGTAGCACTTTCGGGTTCACGTGGGTATGCGCCCTCGCCATTGCCACCTTAGGTTGGCCCTCCCCCACTGGGGCTCAAACCAGGGCCCGAGGCCCAGGCCCGGCGTCACTCAACAGGGAACCAGCCGGCTGAGCTAAAGGGAGATCTCCCCTCAGCCTGGCGGCTGAGGTCCCTGCTATTCACAGGCAAGGGTGGTGATGTCACCACGCTTGCAAACCAGCTCGCACAACCTGTGTTGTCGGCCGTACGCGTTACAGTACGTATTGTATGGTAATTTAATTGTCATACTGTACATGTTTTTACTTTTTTTAAGCAATGCCTTTGTTAAAATGTAGCACACAAGTGTTTCAAAAATTCCATCCATCCATTTTCTAACCACTTCATCCAATTCAGTGTTGCAGCCTACCCTGACAAGCAACAGGCACACTGAATAACAAGGTTATACACTGAATTGGACACCACACCAGACACTAACACGCAGACACTAACACTTACAGAAATATACTTTGCAAATGTGTATAATAAATGATACCACCTGCACATTTATTGTGTGTTTCTGAAGGCACTGAAAACATCTTTACTGTATGATTTGAAAATGATTCAGTTTATCCTCATTTCAATTATACCACAGAGGAGACTTTCAGAGTATGGGTTTTACATTACTTTGTAATTTAAAAACCTTAATAATACAGAGATTTTATTGCATCCATGTCTTCTTTTGCAGGGATTTGTAGACGGAGATTTGTCAAAAATCCAGTATGGTGGAGCAAATGTGTCAGGATTTCAGATTGTTGATTTTGATGACCCTTTAGTGTCCAAATTTGATCAGCGATGGGAGGCTTTGGAGGAAAAAGAATATCCTGGTGCTGACAGTAGAATTCGGGTAAGACTCCCTTAAAAATTGTGACTAGAATTTGAATAATGATTACTGACAGCTGCACGCCACCTATGCCTAGTTTGTCCTGAAGTTTCTCTAATTGTTAGATTAAAAAAATAAAAAAATACAAACAGTGGCGTGGAATTTCAATGCAAAATTATAACTTAAAATACCATAGTTTTTGTGTATTATGTATGTTATGTTCACAATAGTTAAAAGGAAATATATTTCTAAGGGAAACCTAGGAAACAAGGCAATCCAATGAGTCACAATGCAATGCACAATTGGAGGAGTTTCTTTTTCATTTTGAGCTCTGGTTATTAAAGTACTGTACCACCAGCTCCCAAGCAAGCCTGTGAATCAGTAGTTTTCATTTATTTATTTTCATGATATTGGAAAGCTTTCATAACACAGCTGCCTGACAACCCAGCACTTCCATATCATGTTTATCTATATTGGTTAACAGTTTGTTTACAGAAAACAAACTTTTTTTTTGTAACTTTTTCATGCAGATTGTTTATAATTGTACGTTTGGTATTGGCCTACTGTCTGTATTAATTTGCACAGCACTTTTATCATAAGCACATTGCCTGTTTTCAGTAATCTAATATCTTTTTGTTTCATAGTCTACACTCTAAATTTCATTTTGATTCAGAGTTGTCACCTGTAGGCATATTGACGTACTGTACTGTATAGATGATTTATTTCCTCTTTGTTTAATTCCAAATATGGTCTTAGGAGCCCACATAGATTCCTATGTGATGCTGATACAGAAGAATTGTTTTGTCTGTGTAATACTGAGCAGTTAATTTTTTTAGGGAATTTCTTTTAAAACTGTTTTTTTATTTTATTTAATTTCTGTTCTGAACATTTCAGGGTACTTCTTGTGTCTGAAACACTAATTCAAAAATACACTAATTCAATGTTTTCGGAACATTGAAATAACAGTAAATATAATTATGTACAAGGATATTTAGGAACAAGATAAATGATTCATTCCATTCTGATTCATTAATACCTGTTACAGTAACATTTTTAAGTTATGTGAAGATGGGCAGCTGTGACACACAAATAGGTTTTCTCTTTTACAGACTCTTCATCTAATGTATCTGCCTTTTCCTCAAGCTGCTTACTTAAACCTTGAGTGGAGAATTTCTGCTTTTCTTACCTCTTCTCTCATTTTAATTTGAATTCCACAGACATTACTACAGCACTCTTTATCGTATCATCACATTAACAGGCGTGGAGACTTTTTTATACTGACTTGTATTGGTTGCTTGCCACTTGCCCAGTAATTTTCCATCATGCTTAACATACCGGTATGACATAATCATCAAGTAGTGCCACAGTGTTTTAATGGGGTGAAATGGACATACTGGGCATTATTCAACAACATTTAAATGCGTTAAATTAACTTTGTTAACACTGACACATCAATCAACTGAAAATGGAATGCAACAACATTAACCTTTTCCCATTTAAACTGTTACTGTCATAAGCTGAGTATGTGTTTTTTTCCGTGCCCCCTAAAAGCCAAATCCTGTCATCATTTTGTCAAGAATAATTTTCAGTGCATACAAATGAGTGGTCGGGGGTGTTTTAAAAGCATTGTTTTCCATCAATGTAATGGATCTACCATGCCAGCAAATCCTATTTATTAATTGGAAAACACAAAGAGTCATAGAGCCCTTCTCACCATAGTAGATAGAAGGATTCATTTTGTCATTTATTTTTTATGAATCCTATCACAACCATGAGCTTGAATAAAAATTAAACAAAAAAAATATATTTATAATTATTTTTGACAGTGTACACTAGCTTTTTGTTACATGCCTTTGCAGTGCATAAAACATTTACAATTGGAATTCTTTTATTGAGGTTGAAGGAATACACACAGTAAAATAGTGATAGTTCATGTAAATAGTTGTTAAAATTTATGAAAATGTGTTAAAGCTATAAGTAATAAACAGGATAGCCTTGGGACTTTATTAATTAACTTTGTGTTCATAGTTGCACAGTGTACTATGGTACTGTAAGATGGCACTGATCCTGTAGTGACATGTCAGCTCAGCTCTCTGTGTCTAAGAGTGTGTGTTTGGCATTTCTGTTGTTCAGCAACCATAAGCAAAATTGCAGATCTGGGGATAATTGCATTCAGCGTTAAGGAACTTTATGAGTTCTGCCCTGTTGACTGCAGTTGGATTTACCTTCAGAAATTAGACCTTTGAGACAGATTTGCGTAGGAGGTGTAAGATAGCAGCTAAAGAGAAGGTGAAGTCATACGTTCCATACATGTGAGATTTGTGCTAAATAAGAAGGATGAGATGACTGTAATGGTGGGAGTGCAAAAGGACTATAGACTAAGTTGTCTGATCTATTTTATGGGAAACTGACTGAATAAGGAAAACCCAGATAGTCTGGTTTCAGTCGATGGTTTCTCAATCATTCGTGCAGAAAGGGAGTCTGCCGTGCCCGGAAATACTAGAGGTGGTGAATTGTATGTCAATTAGCTGTGGTGGCACCCACAGCATATTTCAGTTAAGCACCATCTGTGTACTCTGTTGAAGGTTAAGCAGTAGGCATGTAGACCCCAGTATCTTCCCAGAGAAGTTTCCCATTTAATAGTGATTGCTGTATACATCCCTTCCTCTGAAGATGCTAAAGTTTCCACTGAGACCTTAAACAAAACAAACAGCACCAGGCGCCACCATAGTGTTAATTTGTGGTGATTTTAATCGCTGTTTACTGGCAATGATACTTAGCTTTTTTAAACGATATGTCACTTGTCCAACACAAAATGGAAACACTCTGGATTTATTATACGCCGAAGTGTAAGGGCAATGTATCTCAAAGCTTTTACTCTTCTGGGTTCCGATCACAGTATGATTCATTTCCTTCCTTAATATGAGTTAGTGTTACATAGGTAACCCATCATTGTGTGCTTCATTCGTGAGTGGACATTGGAGGATTCTCTAATCTGGAGTATATTCATTGAGGAGCAGGGATAGGATATTGAGGGACTGATTGAACTTATAACACATATAAACTTTTGTGTTGATACCACTGTGCCTTTTAGACTGTTGCATTGTTATTTGAATTATAAGCCATGGAGAAGTAAGGACTTGAAGATTATGCTCAATAAAAATAGAAAGTCAGTCTGTGAGAGATCCAGGGAAGAAATGAAACTGGTGCAGAAGGAGGTGAAAATAAAACTTGAAAGTAAACTGTAGAACAACAATATTAAAGATATCTGGAATGGAATGAAACTTACTACTATGTTTGTAGTGGAGGCCAGTCCTCCACTACAAAAAAAAAAGATGGTGCGGTGGCTCTGTGGCGAAGGATTTGCGCCTCTTGCAGGAAGGTTGCCGGATTGTATCCCGTGGCCGGCAGAGGAATCGTACTCCGTTGGGCCCCTGAGCAAGGCCCTTAACCCCAACTGCTCCAGGGGCGTCGTATAAATGGCTGACCCTGCGCTCTGACCCCAAGCTTCTCTCCCTGTCTGTGTGTCTCATGGAGAGCAAGATGATATATGCGATTACACAAATTCCTAATACAAGAAATTGTGTATGGCCAATAAAGTGATCTACCTGGACAGTAACAAAGAGCTGACTAAACACCTTTTTTAACAGAACCAACCCATAGGAGGTAGTAGAGTCTGCTTTTGTGGTTACCTCTGAACAGGTGGGAAAGAGCTGAGGCCATTAATCCAAATAAGGCAGATGGGCCTGATGGTAATAGTACAGAGAAGGTGTGGAAGTCAACAGCATTCTATTTTACAGTTCTTGTTCAATTTATCACTAACACTTCACAAATTAGGAAATAATTTGGAAAAAATCTTGTATTGTACCGGTTGTTGTAACAGACAAATAAGTTCTGGATCCCGAGATGAAGTTAAACAGATGAATTTTATTGCATGCAAGGAACAATAAAACCGAAGTATTGTTCGAAGTACAGGTACAAAACTTCCAGTTTATATAGCCCTTTTCTGCCGCTTCTGACGTAGCTCATTACCTTAGTAATGGGGGGAGGTCATGGTGTCCAGCCAGTTCACAGACTTTGGTCACTCTTAATGGTCCGTGTTAGGTTTCCTTCCCTGGAGGTTTCCTAGCTGGCATCTGGAATCCTTATCAGTTATCCCCCTTTCTTGCCATAACTCTAGCCTGTTACTTAGAAGTCCAGTCCTCATGCAGAAAGGACTCAGTTAACCCCTTCTTCACATTATATCTTTCTTCACGGTTCATAAGAAATCCTAGCTCCACAGCTCTGAATGATTTTCGATCAGTGATCCTCACCTCACACATCATGAAGATATTTGAACAGGTTATCCTAGGTTATCTACGGCAACATCTGACTGATCTCTGCAGTTTGCATATCAGGCATGTATTGGTGTTGAGGATGCAATCCTCTTTATGCTTAGAGAGTATACTCCCACTTGGAAAAGGCCAGGTTTTTGTGTGTAAGAATGGATCCCTGATGCACCAAAGAGAGGTTAGGAAATACTTTTTACCCACGGTCATCTATCTGAATAGTTCCAAAACTTTCTAAGATTTTACCTTGGACTTTTAATGTTTTTACTGTTCTTCTTTTAAGAATAGTGTACTTCATAGTTTGATCAAGTGTGTCAAAGCTATGCATTATAAAGTAGGTCTGTTTATGGAATGGCTGTCATGTTTGTATAGTGTTATTGTGATTTTTATATCTGTGGGTTTTGTTGGACATTTCATATCATATTGTAACAGTGGTTAGTCAGCTGACAAAAATAATACAGTCAAAATAATGTTGACTTTATCTTACTAACAAAAAAGGTAGACAGCGAAACAGCATACAGCACTCGATATATTTTACATATATTATGTAGTAGATAAAAATCAGAATTATTACAGGATTCGTAATTCATAATGTAACGCATATACAGTAATAACTGAGAACTACAGTAAATTTCTAAAAACCTGTTATTGTAGAAAGGTTCTTACTTATGTATGTAATGGGGGGAATGTGAGGCAGTGAAGTTTATCATTATTCTACATTAATGTATTACTATTACAAACACATTTTGCCAGGTTTGTAATGTTGATTTTCTTGTTATTCTTGCAGTACACATCTGCCTTGACCTATGATGCTGTGCAGGTAATGACTGAGGCTTTCCGCTATCTGCATAAGCAGAGGATAGACATCTCCAGAAGAGGCAACAATGGGGATTGTCTTGCGAACCCTGCTGTACCCTGGGCACAAGGAGTGGAAATTGAAAGAGCATTGAAACAGGTGAATTGTAACCACAGAATTTCAGTATGCAGTAATGTGTAATGTGCCACAGTAGAAGAGGATTTTAGGCTCCATAAATCCCAATGGAATATGCTCTTCTTAATGGCCTGAGATCCAGTGATTACATAACAGTATATAAAAATAAAATCTTTGAAAGCTAAATAAATGTGCTTTGCTTCGACAATATGGTATGCTTTCATTTTTTATTCTGTCACCCAGGTCCATGTGGAAGGTTTGACAGGAAACATTCAGTTTGATCAGTATGGCAAAAGAGTGAACTACACAGTTAATGTTATGGAACTAAAAAATAGTGGACCGGTGAAGGTAAGATGGCCCATTTAGAAGGAAATGTATAACCATGTTTTTCTACAGATGTGTAGACTTTTTCTCCAGGTGTCAAGTGAACTCGGAGTCCATAATAATCTAATACTGCACAAATGAAAAGCTTAAGACATATTTACTTAAGTCAGAGCAAATATGTTTTCTGTTTTGTTTGATACATTTTGAACATCAGAATACAATCACTACTTAAATATCATTTGAATGGCAACTTAGAATATAGCTTTGTAACTCAGAAGGATTGGAAAATAACTGCTAACATGTTTTATCAGTTTGCAAACATTTGGTAGGATGTTGTAAATATAAAGCACTATGATAATTATCTCATTTTTCAGATTGGATACTGGAATGAAGTTGACAAAATGGCTGTTACAAAACCAGACATTCTTCCAAATGAATCTATGGGATTGGAAAATAAGACAGTCATTGTGACCACAATTTTGGTGATTCTTTAAATGTTTTTTTTTAATTAAAGTCTTAAGATGAATCCATTTATCTTATGTATTTTTCATTAAATACTTATTGACTGTATGCTTAAAGAATTTGGCTTGTATACCATTCTCATATTTTAGCTTTTATCTGGTAAAATTGTATTATATTTATTAGAAAGTTTTATTTATCATATTGCATTGAATATATTGCATTTTTTAAACTTCCCTTTTCAGGAAGCACCTTATGTGATGCTTAAGAAAAATGCTGACCTCTTTGTCGACAATGATAGGTATGAAGGTTACTGTGTGGATCTTGCTGCAGAAATAGCAAAGCACTGTGGTTTCAAATACAAGCTCTCCATAGTAGGAGATGGAAAGTATGGAGCCAGAGATGCTGAGACTAAAATCTGGAATGGAATGGTTGGAGAATTAGTGTATGGGGTAAGAAAAACACAGAAAAACAGTCTCTTTGACATTTATAGTTCAAGTTGATATACTGTTTAAAACACTACTGCATTTGCTGCATTGTTTATAGAATGATATAAATCTGACATACGTAATGTTGAATTCATACTTTGCAGATTTGACAAAATTTTTAGTGCACTAAAAAAAAGTTAGTGCCTAGTGCCTTCAATTTGTTATATGTGTTATATACATATGTTTTATATAATTACAAGATCAGTTATAGTAAAGTTTTCTCTAATAATATCATACAGTGAACTTTCTCTCAATTTATTGTCCTGTCTGAGATTAGTAAATTCGATTCTGGGCTTTATGTTTAACATTATTTTTGTCTGTATCCTCTTTTCATTCTGATTACAGAAAGCTGATATAGCAGTTGCTCCATTAACCATTACCCTGGTGAGAGAAGAAGTGATTGACTTTTCAAAGCCTTTTATGAGTCTGGGAATTTCCATCATGATTAAGAAGCCTCAAAAATCCAAGCCAGGGGTGTTTTCCTTCCTAGATCCCCTGGCATATGAAATCTGGATGTGCATCGTGTTTGCTTACATTGGGGTCAGTGTGGTTCTCTTCCTAGTCAGTCGCTTCAGCCCCTATGAGTGGCACACCGAGGAATATGAAGATGGACAAATACAAACTAACGAATCAACAAATGAATTTGGGATATTTAATAGTCTCTGGTTTTCTCTTGGTGCCTTTATGCAGCAGGGATGCGATATTTCGCCAAGGTTGGTCTCTCAAACGTTTTAACTTTGTGCATCTGCGGTCCTTGTCTAATGCCATGGTGCATATATGTTTGCCTCCTGGAAATCCATTCCTGGGTGACTTTTCTCCCATGGATGAAGCTCTTTGTTCCCTAAGAGCAAAGGTTTTGCCTAGAAACTGTCCCTCTTAAGACAAAGAGCATATACAGGACAAGAAATACCAGATTGATGTGTTGATTTCACGTCAATTGAGTATTTCTTCTGTGAACATATATACACCATGCCGAGACCGTAAGATGCACGAGGTTGCTGTCATTTCCTGTCCTCTTGGAGGGGTACCGTGTTTTTGCTGCATATTCCCATTTTATGGTCCTCGGTCCATGGGTTTATATACAGTAGGTGCTATCAGAATCAACAATACAGTAGCACAATAATAGCATAGCAGTACCCTCCCTGCCTTTAATTTAACATTTTCTTTCCAGTTGTGTATACCTTCTGCTTCCTCCTATTTTACTAAAGGTAATAACTACACCATTGAATCTCCTGCTGAGTTGGTTTAAACAAATATGGTAAGCAAAGCCTCTCATGCACTTTGTTTCTTGACATCACATGATGTCCAGTCACACTAAGTATGTTAAGTACATACACAAGATAACTAATACACAATCTTACCGTATCTTATTGGTTAAAAGTACAAACTTTTTTTCTTTCTAAGTTTGGCCTTGTAATGTAAACTTAAAAAAAACACTTATTGCTTTCCGCACAAAGTACTGTCATAATCACCAGACGATGACCTCCTAATGGTGTTTAAGCGTTTTTTTAAACACCACTTTTAAAAATAAACTTACTTTATACGGGTAAAAGCAGATATCATGCCCACTTAGTATTTACTTATTACAATTGGTTGTTGGCCAATATTTTGTCTACACACAAAAATATTTCTTTGAAGGTCTGAAATTATATTTTTAGTAACAACATTGTACATCTGTATTCTATGTGAATTTATTACAGAATTCTGAGATGAAGGTTAGATTCTAATCTCACCTACTTCTGCTCTCCTGCACACATGTATATACAGTATACCCACTTCCCTTTATGCATCTCTTTCACACCCCTCTTGCCACACCAACTGCACCCTTACAGCAGCTCCCTAGCTGTCAGACCAAAAAGAATTCTACCATTCTCAAGTTATGTGAGTTACACCATACGTTTTCCTTTATCATATTCACTCATTCACTAAGATCTAACATAATTACTGAAATTAGTTGTTTTGGCTAAAGGCAGTTTAATATTTCACTTACTACCTTTCTCTTCAAATATTTTCCTTGCTTAAACATTTTGTTAACATTTTAAGTATATCACTTAGAATTACTTTGATTTGCATCATTTATTTAAGGTATCTTTTATTTTCTGTGGAGTAGTACATGTCAAGGTGGTTAAATGATCAATATATTTCAAACTCTCAACAAGGAGTTCAACATTGTTATTTCATCATGTTATATTGATTTTTTCTATTGTCAAGAAGTTAAAGGCTAATTAACATACATTTCTTTAAACTTGGTATATACTTTGTGTTTCATTGTATTAAGCATTTTCTTTTATAAAATACAAAATAATCACTGTTTCTATAGGCTTTTTTGCATATAGGTATAAGCTTTTCATCTTTAACAATATGCTACGTACTTGAGGTAAATGATGTTCATATTTTTATCAGTTGTACTTTTTTCAGGTCTTGTTTTCAGAACAGTACTGTAATCTGCTATTCTTCCATTTTTATAGAAGAGGAGATGGGAAAAAAGACACAAATATCAGCATGCTGCGATTAAAGCCTGGAATATTTCTAAGTTTCAATTTATTATCACCATCTATGTGTTGCAGCTGTTTGATTTACCCATAATCACACATATCTCATGAACATTTTTTCTTCAGTCTATAAACATCCAGGTTTACATAATAACTCTTTTTTTAACCTTACTGTACCTCCATACCAATAATGGATGTTAGTCATCCTTCATGTATGTTATACTTTAATGTCTAGCTTAGTTTCTCAACACTTTTATGTCTAATTGCTTAACAAAGCATTACCATTGTAGGACTGTCCTGTCTGATTTAAAATTAATTTTGAATGCTTAATGATTTTTGTCTTTTCTAGTCTTCTGTTACACATCTATGAAAAATGTCTCCATCAAAGCTTACTGTCAATACACTGTGATTTAAGAGCTACAGTATGTGGGGAAGCCAGATGTGCATATTGAAAGCTTGCATGTTTGGGTCAGAAACATAGATAAACAATTGAAACGGTCTTAGCTTCCTTGTGTCATTTATTGCACCAGCTCTTAAACTGCCATATACAGTACAGTAACTTGTTTTCCGCTAATTGTTCCCTCTGCGGATTGAATGCTCCTCTTTACTTATTGTGGCATAGTATAGAACTTATCTTGTCTCTTCTCACTCTTTAGCTCTCTTTTTCATTGTTCTGAATTCATTTCACACTTGTTAATAGATCCCTCTCTGGGCGAATTGTTGGCGGTGTGTGGTGGTTCTTTACCTTGATCATAATCTCATCCTACACGGCAAACTTAGCTGCTTTCCTGACTGTTGAGCGGATGGTATCTCCTATTGAAAGCGCAGAAGACCTTGCTAAACAAACAGAGATTGCATATGGAACTCTGGACTCTGGCTCTACAAAAGAATTTTTCAGGGTAAGAGGTGTTTTAAATTTTAAATAGATGTTTCTCTACAATATACACAGTATAAATACTGTATATAAAATAGCTTTCTTACAGCAGCCTGCAGCAGTATATAATAACTTTTGTACAGCAGTACAGTTTATTGTCAGTGATGCTTGCATATAAAAAAGAAGAGTGCCACTGTATAAGGTGTATTCATATTAATAACAATTTTAATATCTGTTGGGGCACTTAGAGTGCAGTAAAGTCTGGGTCCTATAGTCCAGATATTGCTGGGATAAGTCATAATCAGTTGTGACTAGGATTTCTCATGTTTGAGTCCTATAGTCCAGATATTGCTGACTCTGGGATAAGTCATAATCAGTTGTGACTAGGATTTCACAACTGTTTGAGAGCTGCTTGAATTGGATAGACATGAGCTGTGACCTACTGGCCACTTGCTACAGTATGTCCAGTGAAAGGCAAAGCTATAAATACTCTTAAATTGGGACAAAAACTTGGGAACAGTGATGGACAGCTCTGTCCATTGGCAGTTTGGAAAAAGGTGTGGATACTTACCAGTGTTGGTATGATGTAGAGGTAAAGCTAAGTTGATTGACAAATGTTTTCAGATTAGGGAATGGAGGTGCATCATTAAGAAAAAAAATATCAATAAATATAAAAAAACAGAGTGAAAAATTCCTTCAACCCAACTTTCAAAGATATTTATTGACATTAACCAAAATATTTAATGACTAATAATATAAACGTATAATACACATTCTGGTATGTTTATTATCATTAAAAACACCAGTTGGTTTTTCATAATGATAACATTTAGTGTTAATTAATCTATTAATCTAACTATAATCTAACTTTTAGTAAATCCTTAGTTTTTAAAAAACAGACTAAAGGTTTTTAAAGCAGGATCAAATAGATCTGTTTTCTTAAAGTTTGTACCAGAAAGATACAAAATTGAGAAAAACTTGAGAACATCTGAGAACTGTGAGTAGAAGAAAGGATAACACTAGGTTAAATGTAAAGGAAAGATGTCAGTTCTCGTCTTTTCCAAAATTAGATCAGCCATAGATTTCTTATTGATCATGTCTGAATGTGACATCTTTTCTTCTTTTTTTTGCGCTACATTTTACTTTAGTTTTCATATATACAAAGAAAAATATGAATTTAGCAATACAAACAAAGCTATAAAAAAGAAAGCATATTAAAATTATTGTATTGAGGAAAAATAGTGGTTATCTCTAGGTCTAGAAGCATATCATTTTCTTAAAGATTCAGACTACACTTCTCAAGAAAGCTGGGAATCATGTTAGTAATCTGAAAAAATAAAGGGATATGTTTAAACTGTTCATTTAAATTGAAAATGATATTACTTTCTAAAGAGGAAAAATGTGTCATTGAATGCTTTGTAGCAATTTTTAAAATAAATAAAATAAAAGTAGGACCTGCTGTCTTGATCTTCAGAAAAACTATAGTCTTGGAAGGGTTTATGTTAAACCCAGTTAGTGTGTACACACATAACATATACACACATTTTATACTGTATACATAAAGGTTAGAGTGTGGAGCTGTGGCAGCTAGCAAGCTGCAAAGGAAAAGCAGAGTATTTCAATGCTGAAAAGTAAAAGAATGTCAAGAAAACTTAATGTAAGTATAGAACAAGCTATTGAGTCATGCTGCTGAAGCTGATACTCCATCTACTTTCAAGAAATGGCTGGATAAGATCCTTGGATCAATTACTGTAGTTACTAACTACCAAATGGGCTCGATCAAATGACCTCCTCTTGTTCGCAACCTTATGTTCTTATGTTTCAACTGAAGAGGCTATATTGTTGTTAAGTGTGGAATCAACCTCCGTTTATGCCAACCTATATACACATTTATATAGATAGGTAGATATATGTACTGTTTATGTAAATTGTTACTAAATAATTCTGTCTTTTCATTATATTAAATTTGTTTGTCAAGTGATTTTAATTGTTTCATCATCTGCTGTATATCCAGTGCCAGATGGTCTATATTGGCTTTAATTACCTCAACGAGGAGTTTGTTTTCATTAAATAAACACAACTAATACAGGACTTTTTAAATAACTGATATTTTGAATGACTACTTTTTTTCTGTAAATGCTATTAATATATTTTAAAGTGGAGTGTTCACAGAAAATGTAGGTATTCTAAAAATCAAAATTTCTGAGATGGATTCCATGGGCATATTTTTGTGTACATATTTGTTTTCAATATGAATGCATAAGGTTATGCATTCAGAGAAATAAAAATAAAGAACATATAAAGGAGCCTGCAGGTTTTCACATCTGACATTTTTTATGTACTGTGTACAGTAAGTCCAGTATGGTCTCAAAGTCAGTATACTTTGGTTATATTTTCAAAGCTTTATAACATGAGTTTCAGTTTCTTAAAAAATGTAGACAACGGGCTAAAGAAAAAATATGTCTCTAGCACCTTGAGGGCATACCCCAGCTTGGCTGAATAAAAGTGCCGTAAGGAAGTGAACAATATAGAGAAAGGCTAAGGTTGTGTTATTTACCCACAGCAACGCATATGTTGTAACACTATATTTGTCAATCATTTGTTTGGTGCAGCCAAAGCTAGTCGTTCTGTCATCTTCAGTGGCAGAGCAATGGTTAAAGCTTGTTCAGGCAATCAGGCAGTCCCAGTCCCTTTGGTTCAGATGGAAAAACAGTTATTTTTATTCAACCGCTATGTGGATTAGATGGTCTATTAGGGTTGTTTGAACTTCCAGTCAATCATGCACATATTCTATGAGAATGCCCCTTTGTGACTAAACTTTAGAGCCTGTTGCAAACAATTTTGAATGCAATTGTGAAGACGTGTACCTCAGGATCTCCATACAGGTGTTAATAAAACACTGAGAGAAGGTATAAAACAGATCTTGTGTTTTGTTATAGCCATTACACCAACATATGAATGATTAAGTCCTCTGAAAATGCAGTCAGCTATGGTGTTTAAAAATGCTTAACAACCCAAATTCAAAGGAAATGGTGAGGTTTTGTGAATTCAGTTCAGGACTGCTTTGTAATGGAAAGGAATTAGGAAATGGTTAAAAAGGAGACAATGAGAAATGTTACTAAGATAAAGAAAAACATAAGTGTAAGAAAACTGAATTTCTGATCTGAGGCAGAAGACATGGAGGTACAATAATTACTTATTAAGGTTAAGATCTGATGCTGTCACTATCAACCGCTGAACCCAAGATTGACGTAAATATGATTTTTTCCTTTAGGAAGTGTGCAGTTTAGAGAAGCTTGGTGTGTTCCTATTGCTTTTGTTCTAGCTAGCGAAGTAGACATCACCTGATCATTTAGGTTTCTTCAGTGTGATATGCAGTGTGAACTGGCTTTGGAGTTTGCCTCACTGTTCCAGTTGAGATCTATGCTACTTCTCCTTGACATACTGGCTTCCTTGGGTCTTGTCTTCAGTAGAACCTGACTTCCAAATTCTGGTTCTTCCAAATTCTTGTTCTTGTCTTGCTCTCTTTATAAGCCATAGACAGACTTCTCCCAGAGTCTTGTCTGCCAGTGTTCTGGTTGGCCAGTTTATACCTGTGTTTTGCATATCTTGCATTCAGGAATTTTTATTGCATCCTTCTGGAGATCCTGGCAAAATGTCCTGTATTTGTTAAGACTCATACATTTTTCTGTGTGATTCTCACAGGTTTGATATTTAGATTTCTGAACTCAGGTTTTCCCTATTCATTTGATGCCAATCCAGCATAACACGGTTTTTCTGATATCAATTTTTTTGTTTACCCTTTTGCTATAAAAGTAATGCGGGATACTGTACCTCATTTTGCCACTAAAAGGGTCACTCGATATTCTAAGCTTGAGTCCTGTGACCCTCAGTCTCGGGAGGATGGATCAAATAATTTATTCTTTGAATTCTAGATTCTTTTAGAAGTGCTTGATGCAATCAGAATTCTGACTGTTTTATTATAAATAACTCTTTATGATATTTATGGTACCAAACAAGCAATATCTACAATCATTCGGAAAGATATCCCTTGCTTCTTTAGTTTTGACACAGTTGGTTATATTTTTGTAAGTATAACTTACTCTATGGATTACTCCATTTAATATAAACCAAGCATGGTGTTCATGGTGCATATGGTACAGTATATATATTGACAATTATAAGGTATTTTTGCCCAGTTTCTTTAAACTGAAATCTAGTCATTTTGATGTGGCTCTTTTGTGTGCCCTCTGAATTTTACTACACCAAATTTAAAATCCAGTCTTCTGGAGCAGGGGGCCTCTTCTCCCAGTAAAGTGTTTTGTCTGTGCAAATCATATCTTTCCTTAATAGGATGATTAACAGTCTTGATCACTTTGACATGTCATTGGGAGAAGAGATCCACCGTTATTTAGACATGTGCTGTAAATGGAAGATACATGCAGACTAACTTGTTAGTAAGAAGTGAGTGCACATACCCTAAATATCAGGTACTATAACTTTACACTACAACAACAGGA